AATTTCCTATATGAAGTTAACTTAAATTTCATGTATAGTTTACCCTACATGAAGTTTTTATTATGTAGAGTTTGTCATGTGGTTCTATCTATTCATGTGTAGTCTAGTTATATAAATTTTACTCATGCTTGTTCTACTTCTTGTGTAGTCTACAATATGAAAATTTTCTCCATGCTTCGTATGCTTCATGTGTTGTTTACCTTATGTAAATTTCTCCTTTCTAAAGCAAACTGGTGGATGGCAAGGACTTTGGTACTTGGCTCTCGATGTTCTACCTTCAGTCCTCGGCCCTTGGCCATTTGTCCGACCTCTGCCCAAACATCTAGCACTCTGAATTCATCCCCTTGTTGTCCACTCATGGACTAATCCCTTTGATAGCTTAGCACTGTGGCAAGAAAAGCAGAAAGCTAGTTGTGCCTTGCTAATCGGAATAGCAACTTCTGGTTGTACATCTATATACCGCTCAACTCCCATGAATTTATATATCTAATGCGTAAATCAAAATTTTTACATAAATGCCATCTTATTTATGTATGAAATTGTGCATTTCAATTATTAAAAGTTATAATGATGATCTTCTTAATTAATTTGATATTAAAAATTTGGGTGCTATAAATATAAAACGTTTTGGTATTAAATATGTCAATATATAGAAATTGGGTGGAATGTATATAAATGGCCCCCTTATTCAACATCGTCATCTAAATCAAATGAATCTATAATACGCTATCAGCGCAAATTCCTCGTTTTAAAGTTACTTTTTGTTGGCCAATTTGAATCGTTTAGATCTTCATAAACCACTATATACTTTATATTTAGGGCTGTCAAAATGACTCGTTGTTTGCGAACAGCTCGTGTTCGGCTCGTTAAGAAACTAGTGTTCGACTCGTTCGCTAAGTTAACGAGCCGTACACGAATAACACAAACAAATATTTGTTCGTTAGTGTTCGGCTCGTTTTGGCTCGAAATAGTACTATTCAATTATATATATCTTTGATGAGTAGTATTTTTTAAAATTTAATTGACTACAGGACTATAAATATTTATAATCAATTAAAAATATTAATGAAGAAAATAGAATAAAAATTATTAAATTCGATTGAAATGATGTTTTAAATCTTACCTCAATCTTTAACATCTTTTGGCTACGTGATTAAGGTTGTCAAAATGACTCTTTGTTCATGAATGACTCGTGTTCGGCTCGCTAAGCAAATGAGCCAAACACGAACACATTTTTCGAGCTTGAAATATAAACGAGCCGGAAACGGGGCGAGTGCTCGCTCATGTCCGGCTCGTTTACACCCCTATCTAAAACATTATAAAATGCCTCACACTTATTAGAGCCGTAAAAAGTACATAATATTTATCCCTAAATTTTAATTCTAAAGCTTATCATTTATGAAAATATTACTCTTATTAACTTTTGTAACAAACGAATTTGTTTGTCAATCTCACTCGCTCCTGCTCAAAATACAATAAATCTCAACGACAAAAAAGTGAGGAAATTGTGACAAGATATCATTTGCGAAATAATATGACAAGATCGACATGTTGTACGTGCAATTACGGGCATCAACAAAGACATGTTGTATGTGAGGGAGAAGACGAGTTAGTCAAGAAGAGAAGTTATTGAGAAGGTTAATGTTATTTTTTATGCTATTTAAAGTGTTATGCATTTTAGTTTTTATATTTATACCGCCTACATCTTTCATATCATATCAAAAATTACTAGTTTAATATACATTCTCATATATATAGGTAAGGTGGCATATATGTCGGGCTTTAAGTTTAATTAGGTGTAAGATATGTAAATACGCATGAATTAAGGCGCATGTAGGTGAATCTTCCTCTCTTTTATTTACATCATTAAACTAAAATGTCCAACACCAATATGATCTTATAAAAAGATTATGTAATCATTTACATAAAATAACAAAAAAAAAAATAATAGCTAAATAAATATTGATTATTTATTAAATTATAAAAAAATGATAAAATTTTGTTCATGAATAATATTGTTTTATAGAGTATAATTAACTTTAAAGGCTATGTATAATAGTAGTTGTTGTCCTACCTTGTATTTTTTCAAGAATGATCATGTTTATGTTTGGTCATATTACATTGATTTTTATGTTTCACTCATGATCTTAATTCACAAAAGTTTTATAGCAAAATTTTGTCAACAAAATCTCATTATCGTATGTTAACATCTAAATTATTTTTTAATATTATAGGAATCTCCCTCAAATAAATTTGTTTAGGGGCATGCATCCCACTTAATCCCTATGTTTGTACATATCTAACATTTACATTTATACTACCATAATCTTTCACATCACAACAAAAGTACCATTATTTTCATCTCTGAAAAGTGAAATGCACATTTTCACATATATGCAAGGTGGTTATACATAAAAATTAAAGCATAGGTGTTATAAATGTAGGTACCTAAGATTTGATTGTATGACCATTTATAGGCTCATAAATTTAACACAAGAAATAACACGAAGTAGAATATCATTTGAACAAGAGGTTGTTACAGTGTCTAACCTTTTTGAACCTATATCATTCATAAAAAGTTTACTAAATTTGGGAAGAAATATTAACCGTGAACAAATGACTCTCTCACACACTCACGAGAATATCAATCATTGAACTCGGGAAATTATTGAATGAGCCTAATTAAGCCCTGAAATAACAGACTATAGGTTGTTGACAACATTGAATTATTGCAAAGACCTTCTTAGTTCTTAGCAAGATTTCGATATTTGGATACATACATTAAAAATAACTCTGTACAAAAAAGATTCGATACTGAAAATAAGAGAGCATGTATCTACCTTTCACACATTATTTCTCAAAAGGACGAAAGAGGTCGAGTCAATTCATAGGGGAATCTTGCTTTTTGATCCATCATGATGTCTCTTGACATCTTTTCTCTTTATAAACCTTTAATGAATTATTATTATTAACCCTAAGGAAGAGTTATCCTTCTCATCATCTTATCTTTTTAAGCGCCCCGTTTTCTTCCTATAAATATCATATTTCTTATCTCGTTTTCTTCCTATAAATATCATATTTCTTATCATCCATGCATGCAAGAGGTCAACAATATTGTTAATTAGGGTTAAAGAAGAAAAAATAAAAAAAAAAGAGATGAGAAATGAAGGGAGAAGAAGGGACGGTTGCCAAAAAGATGAAGTAGAGCAAGAGAGGAGGAGCTCGGTGAAGATATGGGTTAGCAACCACGACAAATGGTGATGGCTCACTGAGCAACTCATCGATCGGAAGGCAACGAATTTTATCTATAAAGAACATCAGAGGCCGAAGCAGAAAACTAAAAGGCATTTTGTGAGGCTCTAGCTTTCTTCACCAATATATCAACTTTATTATTATTATTTTTCTTTTTCGTCCAAACTTTAAACTAATTGTTGAAGAAGGAGATGAGTGAAATAAAAATACGTGGAGATGGGACATAAGAGTGTGGATTTTGATTGCATTGGTGAAATGTTTGGAGAAAAAAATTGAAAGAAAGCACATTTAGTTTATATTTAATAAGAAGTACAAATATGATGCATCAGCTCATATAGATTTATAATGATATTTATACTATATATTAAGTTATTATATATAAGATGCAAACTAATAAATCAATGAATTTTCTATCAACATATTAATTTTCAATTCCTAATTTGACGATTAATGACACATATGATATTAATCATCTAATTATGTGCTTGATCAATTCAATGTTTGTAATCATTTTGAGCAAAAGAAAATTTTTATAATATAATCATAATATATATATATAT